TTGTAGCACAACAATTTACCAAATTGGACTCCAGCAATAATTTTCTATTAGTCTTCGTCATACCGGCTGAACTTTTGATAGTATTAGATTGAGTTTGAAGTTCTTTGAATTAAGTCTTTAAATGATGCGAGTTTACATCATTCTATCAGGCATTCTTATTTATACTTGACTGAATTGATAATGTGTTTTGGGGTTATTTTGTAACTAATTTGATGTAATAGCCATATGGACAGTAACTCTATTAATGCTTGCTAGGTTTAGCCTTTCATTGTTGTAGTTCAGTGAAAGTCTTTGGTTCAGTGTCGGGAAACAATACACAACATACCACACGAGTTGTAACAAAGGATTAAAGGTCTGACAAAAGGCAGGTAGCTGGGGAAGTGTCACTGAAATGGCACCATCAAGGATGCATGTGTTGGAAGAAGGGAACAACAACAAAAGAACAACAAAATTTACAAGCCAATGAGTCAGTGAAAAGGCTTTTTAAAAATTCAGGTGAATATATGACTAAGAGCCCCTAGAATGCCATTGCAGCCTATGGCAATGTTTTTAATAAAATTTTATTAAAGTTTTATAAGTTATTTTAACAAGACGGGAAAAACTTAAAAGACTTAAAGCTGTTGGGTCACAGCAAGGTGGCTGTTGAAGTTTTGGACCACTTTATAATTAGCTGAAATCCAAATATGTTACAGTGCAGGCCGTTCACGTTGACAATGGTACTAACTTATTTCTCTAGAAACCTTTAGAGTAGATATATTTTTGTCAAAGCACCCCATCCTTCCTCGATTTAAATTTCAATATTGTTCCTGAAGATATTTCTGTATATTAATGGTACCTTTTTTAAAAGAAACAGAAAATTACTTTTTTCTATATTAATTAATATCTTACTTGATCTGCTTTTCCTTGACTTTCCCTTAGAGAGGGGGTAGGGTTGGGTCAGTTTACTGGATATGACTGTTTTCAGATACTTATAAACCTTTTTGTAGATATGCTTAATTTTTAAGCGATTAGGCACTGAGAGTAGCAGAAATCCTGCAAAGCTTTATAGTTCACTAGGCATTTGCCTTTGTTGGTTCTCTGAGTGATGTCTTGATTTCAGTAGCTAGAATTTTCCCTGAATCTACTAGAAGGGGTATCAGTATTTTCAGGTAACAAAGTCTGTTAGCACAACAAAAATTTCAGACCAATATCTTACTGTATTGGGGTTGGGTTTTTTCCTTGTTTGTTTTGTTTTAATTTTTATTAATTTCAGCTGCTTTCATTTTGGAAAATCTTATTGCTATTGTGTGTACTTCAGTATACCAGCAAACACTGTTACCCGTTAACACATTGTCCACAAATGCCTCTAGAGAAGAAATTGTTGCACCTTATGTATATCTCAAGCAAACCAAAATATGATGCTTTTCTGCTTTGTTTATTCTGAATATGTTGTATCATACTTTACTGAACCCATTTTAACTTAGCTAAAGCTATTGATATTTATGCATTTCACATTATTTTCTGGATCTGAACCTGTGTATAAATCTTTCTTTAAAAAAAAAGAAAAGCATTTACCGTAGTTGTCCTCTGTGACTTATCCATGGGAGGGGGGAATCTTGTCTCAAGTGTAAAATGCAGTACTGTCCCAGTTTTCCTTGGCTTTTATTTATTTAGTGATCTCTCATATTTCATATGTAGTTTTGAGGTATACAAAATACATTATCGTAGCCGAAGCTACAGATCTAAGCAGCTGGGAGAAAATTACTGTAACGTCTTCTTAATTGTTCTAGTACTGTATACAAATATGGGAAAAATGTTCTGCAGAACATTTGAGATGCAGATTCTTATCCCCACAGTAGGTTATTTTCCAGATATTAGACCAAATCAATCAAAACTCAATGATCTTAAAGGTATTTTCAAACATAAATGATTCTATGATTCTAAAAACATCTATGGAGATTACTTAATGCTCTGCTTATGGCAGTAACTACCCCTTGAATGTGCTGTGATTTCAGAAATAGAATATATTTATTTAAGATGACTGAATGCTCTTTTATACTAATAGAATATCCCAAAGTAATGAGCAAGAGACTTCTTGGTAGTTTGGGTACCTATTTTATAGCATTGGTGCATGACTTTTGAAATGAAAGTGATAAGCATTGTTGGAAAGGGGCACAGGAACAAGGGACTGGTAGAAGTGTGTGAACTTGCGGTGTTTAAATTCCAGCTTTGGTCTTTGTTATTTGGATGAAAGTTGCCTTTGTAGTACAAGGCTGAAGAGCACTCTGCAGTTTGTATCAAGTAGAAACCCAAGAGAGTTGTAACTCACATCAGAACGAGGGAATGTACAGTTAGGATGCCATCTTTTGGAACAGGATATTAAACTGAAGCAGTTTTAATTTCCACTGCCTGTTTAGCTACTGTACAGATCCTGAACAGACTGAAGGCAACAGTTGTAGACGTGGGACAGCTAAAAGAGGATGAAAGGAAAGCTGGCCTTTGTTCTCAGTGTGGCAAAGTTACAGCAACAAAGGGGAATTAGGAAAAAAGATAGATATGTGTGTATATATGTGTGTGTGTGTATGCATGTGTGCGTGTGCACCTGGGTGTGTACATTCTGAAAAAAAAAGGTAGGAAAAACAAAAACATGATGGGTCTTCAAGAGACTATAATGTATGTTGACCCTTTGAGTGCACTCCCTATTTTTTGAATGCTGAGTCTAATACGGCTACCTCTCCTAAAAGACTACTTTTGTTAACTTCCATTTGCTTTCAGGCTTGATCATGTAATCTTCTCAGCCATTGATGCCGCTTGTGTATCATTGTGTGCTTTACTTTGAAAGAGCAACGTTTATACAGTGCAGACAACGTAAAGTCTGAATATACCATGGTAGCCAAACCATGTTGCTGGAGAATTTTTGTTTAACCTCTGCCATAGTCATATGGGTTGCAGGACGTGGGCCTGCTAGCTCTGGTTAGTTCAGTGAGATCGGGTTTTGTACCGCAGAAAACGCAGGGCTCGTGGGTTGGTGGACTGCAGATACTGCCCGAGGTGATGCAGTAAGCCAAATGCTGCTCTTGAAACTTATTCCGGAGTTTACGTTTGCAATCCTGATTTCGCAAGGAAACATAACTGTGCCACTTGTGCATTGTACGTTATCCATTAGCTGCCGTTTGTTTGCCGTGCTTGTTTGATATACTGTAGAGCTCCTAGATATCTTTGCCATGTTTTGTAATACCTGTGGCATTCTCCTTACCTTGTACATATTGTGGAACTGTCACCTACAGCGGCCAGGATGCTGAGGCACTTCAGGACACTGAGCGCCGTGAATGAGTGCATTTAGTCTGTGAAAGAGTTACTTGCCTTCTCCCCTGAATTCCCCGATAAAAGGCACAGTGAGGTTTTATGCTCTCACCTAAGTTCTATTATAGTCATGCATATACTCAGTATTTTCTACTGAATTGACAACTTTGAAGAAGCTTATGAGATGGATGTGTATTTTATGTTTCCCCACTAATTCTTCTAAGGTGGAAATCTAGGAAGACTTGACATGAGATCTCCACTCAGCAGCACACCCAAGCTTATGCTGAACACCATCCTTGTTTGTGAGGCAGCATTGCTATTTGCCCTGTGACAGTGCAGGAGCCCCGATTATGGACCACTGTGCTCTTGGAGTTAAGCTTGGGCTTGCGTGATGTTCCTGCGGGAGGCACGTCATTGTGACCTAGGGCCTTCACTGACACAGAATTTTAAAAATTACTGCAAGTAGCTTAACATTTATTGAGCTCTTCCAAAGAATTGTATTGTAGTTTCTGGGTCTTAACTGTTACCATATACCAGCAGACCCATACTGTACTCTACTGGGGAAAAAAAACACACCTGTAGAGGATAACTAATTAGACTTCCAAATGTAATGGTCTAATCTACTCTGTTCACTCCTGCAACTGAAACCAGATTTTCCCACACACACTGCTACACTTTAATCAGTGGTTGGGGCTTTGAAGGTGACAAAAGCAA